GGGGGGGGGGGGGGGTGGAAGCGCCGCCACCATTATCCGTCCCCGCTCCGAAAGTCGCTTCCCCGCCTCCCTGCCGGAGCCGGAGCCGGAGCCCGGGCGGCGGCGGGGCGCGGAGCGCCGGAGGAAGTGCGGGGTGAAAAAGAAAGAGAAACAGGCGGGCAGGGCTCGCCCGGCCGCGGCGGAGCGGCCATCTCGGCTGGGAGCGGGGCCGCATCCATGGAGTTACCGGGCGGGTGCTCCTGAGGAGGGCCCGGGCGGCGCGGCCCCGGCAATGACACCGGATTGAGCCGCCGAGGGGGCTCTCCCGGCTGGGGACTGCGGGAGCATCCCCCGCCCCCGCCTCCTCCCGCCCGTCACCCCAGAGACCGGCTCAACTCCGGGCGGACACTCTCCCGGCCAAGGTAAAGGCTCGGCGGGGTGGCGGCGGGAGCGGGCTGGGTTTGCAGCGGATGGTTATTTTGCAGCTCCCCCTGCTTTTGCTGTATTTGTCTCTCTTTTTTTAAAATTTATTTATTTTTCACCCTCCCCCGGCTGCCGGGCGGGGGATGTGCAGCATTCCCGGGGCGGATGGCGCACGGTGGTCACTCTCCCTTGGAAGTGCGGGAGGGAGGCGGCGGGGACGTAAACAAGAACTTTTCGAGGCTCGGTTCGCCGCTTCGCCCCCTTTATCCCCCCGAATTAATGACTGCGGCAGCGGCCCCGCGCCCTGCCCTGCCCGCCGGGAGGGGAGGGGGCGCCCCGGCGGCCCGCGGGGCTCGGGCGGGCTCCGCACCGGGGGCTGTGCGGGCTCGGCGCGGGGCCGCGGAGCGCGGCGGGGCCGCGGGCGCGGAGCGCGGCGCGGGGCCGGGATGGCGGTGCCCGGGGGCGTGGCGGCTGCCGGCTCCCGCCTGCCCTCCCCTTCCTCCCCCCTTCCCTTCCCTTCTCTTCCCTCCCCACCGCGGGGCTTTCCCCGCCGCCTTCCCCCGCCGCACCGCGCTGGTGGGTCCCGGCGCTGCCGGGCCCGGGGGGATGGGGGGGCACCCTCCGCTCCCCCCCGCGGCATCACCCGCGCTCGAAAAACATCCCGCGTCCTCCCCCTTCCCCGCTCTGTGGTCCCCGCGGGGCGGCCCCCCCTTCTCCTTCTCTCCCCGGCCACCTGCCCCCTTCCCCGGGCGCTCTCCCGCATCCTCCGGGGAACCAGCGGCGCCCCCGCAGCGCTCCGGCCCCTTCCCCACCTGCCGAGCCGCTTCCCGCTCAGGGTGCGGGGCTGGGAGCCCCCCGCGCCCGGGGTGGGAGCAGCGAGCTGGAAGTTGGGAAGCGCTGCAAAGGCGGGAGGCTGCTGAATTGTCAACCTCGGGAGGGGAAGGAAAAATAATTATATATTTATCTCTCGCCATACCTGCACATCCTGAGCGCTTTTTGAGTGGGAAGGGAAGGATGGCATGGCACTCGCGGGGAAAATTCCCAGCGCCTTCTCAGCACCCACAGTGAAAATTGTTTACTGAAGGGTTCGAGCTAGGACCCTCGGACGGCTGGGACATTTTTAGGAGGAGATTTTGCTTGAGGGAAGAAAAATTCAGTGATCTCAGCCTTATCCCCGGGGGTAAGGAGCCCGGCTCTTAGGAATGGTGTTTGACCTTTAAGCATTTATTGGCTACTGGGGTTAAAATAAGCTTGAGATAGAAGTAAAAATAGCTTGCAGAAAGGTTAAAACGAAGGTTAAATTTGTTTTTCCTAGGAAAATTGAGGCTGATGTTCAAAAATGTAGGCTTGGAGCAAAGGATGGAGGGTACATGTTAGGGGGTCTGTAGGCAGGGAGATGCAATTCCTTTAAAGTATTGATGGTTGCTGATAGTGTTTGACACCCAAGTTCTGAAAGCTGGTGGGTGGGTGGTCCCCACACTATTTAGGTCTGGTCTTTGCCTTTCTGTGGGTGTTCAGTACAAAGATCGGAGTGCCCGTAGCTCCTGTTGATTTCCTCGGAGGTGTGGATGCTCAGAGACCTGCAGGATGGGGCAGCCGGCTGAGGGCGTGGAGCCGTGCCCAGTGTCCCTGCCCGGTGTCCCTGTTCTCATCCTCCCCCCCAAAGGCAGGGGTGGCTCCAGTGCCCTCAGTAACCTTTCTGACTACCTGTGCTGTGTCCGGGCTTGCTGAAGAAAAACTAGATAATTAGAGGGTAACGAGTCAGAAGAGGCAAGTGGAGTTATAAATGTGAGTAGTAAAAAAAAAAAAATCCCCTTATAGATGTGGAGAGAGGCAAAGCACAGGAAGTAAACGAGGGCTTGTTTTGTTTTAAATTGAAATGAGATTAAATTTTGCCCCAGGGAGCCGAGACGGCCAGCAGAGTTGGCGTGGAGGAGAGGAGGGATGGCTCACTCCTCACCTGGGCACCTGAGTTTTTGCTGGAAAGTTGGGGCTGGCAACAACCTGTGGAGGAGGCGAGGGGCGGGCGAGCCCCGGCGGGCAGGGGCAGGCTCCCACTGCCCGGAAAATGGGAGTTCTGGGTCCCAGGATCCCGCCTGTCTGCGTTTACACTTCTGCAGGGTTTCCAGGGGGGTTTAAGAGAAGCTTCCTCCCAGAGGCGAGGGCTGCGCCCCACGGTGTGCTGCTGAGGGTCTGCCGGCCCAGCCGAGGCGCGTCCTTCGGTCCAAAACTTTGTTCTGCTGTTACTATGAAATTGGGGCTGTGCCAGTTCGGGGGACGCTGCTGCTCTCGCCTAGCAGCACTTGGCTCCGGAATTGCTAGTGGGAAAAGGCGATGGGAAGAGAGGACGAGCCTCCCACGGTGTAAAGGCTGGGACGTTCCAGCCCTCCACCCTTCTTATTACACTTTCTAACAACTGGTGTTCCTAGACAGAGGGGGGAAAAAAAAAAATAAAACAGCTAAGGCAGAGGGGGAAGCGTTGGGAGGGTGCGTCGGGAGCATCCCCGCGGCTCCGCATCCCCCGCGGGCCGTGGGGCGGGCGCGGGGGGTCCGTGGCGCGGGGTCCGCTGGCCGGAGCGGTGTGCGGTGCCGCTGGGGGCACTATGTTCCGCCTGTGTTCCTATTTCTGGGCCGGAGGAACAAACAGGGAAGTGGTTTTTCTGCAGTCTCATTGCAGCTCACAAACAGAGCACATCATTCAGCCGGTGTCGCTCACAGCGTCAGAGGTGACGGCGCGGGGACCGGCGCGGCGCATCCCTCAGCCTGCGGGGAGGCTGGGAGAGGTGATGAACAAATACTTTCCCCCCCTTTTTTTTTAATTATTATTATTTTTTTTTTACTGCCACTTACGCAGGTTTCTGTGCCTGTTCCCTGTGGATTTCGGGAGCACAGGCATGTGTGAATTTCTCTCTTCGCTCGCCACGGTCCAGAATGGTTCGTTCTTGCCAGCAGCCCTTGCACAGGGTGCTGGGATGCCACTAAAATCTCCAAATCACACGGGGCTTGATGTACAGAAGAGTTTGCAGGGAGCTGGGAGACATCAGGGGGTTCCCCAGAGCACAAGGATGGTGGAGGGGTCCGCAGAGGACTCGGGAAGGCGGATAAGGCATTTTGGTTTAGTGTGGATGGGAGTGGGCACTTGTCCCTGGCAGTGTGCCCAAAGGGGGCAGGAGCTCAGGACCTGGGCACAAGCATCTGTGCCAGGGGTATTGCTGCCTTCACCTCTCCCAGGTTGCATGGGCAAAAATTGCATTCCCAAGAGCTCCTCTCCAGCCCTCCCCTGCTGTGAGGCAGGACCAGCCAGCCTCAGACCATTATCTCAATTTAAACGCCAATCCTGGTGCTAATTTTTCCAAGGCCCCGGTGATTTACATTTGTTTAGGCTGATGGAGGGCCATCATCTTCCTTGGTTTAGCATTTATCTGCCTTTCTCAGCTTGAACAAAGGCAATGCTAAACATGTGTTGGTTTGCAAGCAATTTTTTTTTTTTTTTGGTTTTCAGGCTTTAACCAGGGCTGTGCCTGTGGATTTGAGTTGCAGACACTTCAGGGGGATGTTCATTTGTTTATAAAAGAAATCCACATCTGTTTCTGTTTGAATTTTTTAAGCAAGCCTACATAGAAACCTTTCACTTGGTTTCTGGCTTCGTAAAAACTGGATTTTGGGCCAAGGTTGACCTAACAGTGACCTTTTCAAAGTATTACAAATTTTTTTGGTATTTGTTTATGACTTTATTAGTGATGCCATGCGGGGAATGGGTCGGTTAAAGGTGAAATTAACTTCTGATGTAAACAAAGGATTAATTTTGGAGCAGAGACCGTGTTTTGTGGAGACTTGAGTTGCTCAGTAGTTCACCAACTGAATTGCTCCTGAGAGCTTGTGGGAGCTGGAGCTGCAGCCCTGGGCGGGATGTGGGCATTGGTTCCCCCCCGCGGTGCCAAAGGGGTGGTGGAAGCCCAGCCACCATCAGACTTTATAACTCTGTGATTCAGATGGGGAAATGGCCAAATTACCCTTCTTCTCCAGTAAATTCCTCGGTTAAGTGCCCTCGGTTTACTGCTGTTGGGCTGCTCCTGATGAGTCCCTCGGAAATCAGCATCTTCTCAGCATGGCCTGGAACTTAATCGTTGTCTGGAACGGGCTGGTTTTGGCCACAAATTGTGCTCCCTTCAGGCACACAGTACCTTGTGTGCCATCCCCTGCCCGGGGGGTGCTGCTGTTCGGAGGTGTCCCTACTTTGCTCAAGCCAGGATTCCATTCAGAAGTTCAGTGCAGTTTGGTTCAGAGGGTGCTGCCCTGGATCCTGCCAAACAGTGGCAAAAACGATTTACTGCAGTAGAGCCACTGTTTTACCTGCAGCGTGAACCCCTTCTGTATGTGATTATCAATCCATGCTGTTATGCAGTGAGCATGTAAAGGTGTGTTCTGGAGGTGGGTGTGGGACAGAAGGAGGATGCAGGGACCAAGTGCAATTAGAGGGATGATCAGTGCATCTCCTCACGTGTGTATCAGGGCCAAAACCAGTCCCAGCATCTGATAGCTGTGCTGAGCATTGCCTATAAACCTTTTCCCTGCCTTGCAAGGAGAGTGATGTCAGTGACACCGTGTTGCTGTAAAGGCAAAGATGGGGAACCTGGGAAATCTCACTGGCTATCAGCAGTAGCGTTCCTTTGCTTCAGCTCAGGTGGTTATTTTCCCTCCGTTGGCTTTGGTTTATTTAATCTCTGTGATTAGGAACTCCAGAATCAATAAAAGCATTGCTCTGTCTTTGTGCTCCAAATGCCTGTTTGCCACTTCAGGCCAGTAGAAACCAGTTTAAAAGGTTCAGGTAGAATTTCCGCTAAAAGTAAGTAAGCTGCAGTTAAAAGTATCTTCGGTTTTATTTTCCCCAAGCAAAACCTAATGGCTACTTGGAACCAGGCTGTTTTAATAACATCTGTTTCCCCTTGAATCACTGGGGGAAAAGTATTGATATTGCCATATTCTCAAGGAGTGTTTTAAGTCACGTTTTGACAGGGCAATGCCTTACCACAACACCGATAGTTAAAATGTTTGGGATGCTTTGTAGTATTTTCCCTGATAGTGCTGTGATAACAGAGCACATATATTGTAAAATACAGATATTGCATGGGTTTTATGTGCCTATGTGGAACATTTCCTGATGTTTGGGGGGAATGTCATGCTCTAGCTTGCTATGCAGTGTGTGTGCTGCTTGTACCTGCTGCGACCAAACCACACAAAACCAGTGTTTAATATCATTCCCACTTACCATTTGTGGAAGCAGTAGTGTGCATGACATCTCAACGCCTTTAGATTCTTACAGAATATCTCAGAAAGTACTAGGAAGATGTCCATGAGATTAACCTTGTTTTCCTGTGGATGTGTTTTGGCTCACAGCCTGTTGGGGATTGTCCGGTCTGTGGGTTTCCCTTTCCCTCCAGAGCTCCCCAAGCCCTGTGTTGGGGGCCACGTCGATCAGTCACTAGGCACATTGGTAAACTGGGGTCTTCAAAAGTTAAGATACCTTTGTAATTCTGTTCTTTTTTTAAAGCACCTGCCCCTACAGATACTTGACTTCCAGTTCCAAGCGCTCAGTTCCCGAGGGGCGAGTTCAGGAGAACCTGCTGATTTCAAGCGCTTCTGTGGCTCGTTCAAAGTCACAAAGCAGATCAGCTGAGCTTGAAACGGGGTCTCCTAATCGGTGTGGTGGTACCTGCTGCTGTGATTTCGACTCTGAGAGGATGGAGAAGTCACAGCAGCCGTGCAGAAGCCACTTGCTCACCCCGTGGGAGCTGCCGGGGGTGTGCTGGAGCGGGCAGAGTGATGGGAAGTGTGCTTGGGGCTGGGCTGGTGTGTGTTGCCTGTGTGACAGACACCCCAGAAGTCTTTAAAAGGAGGAGATACTGGCTCCAAATACATGGGAAGATGAGTCAGAGGGTAAAACCCCAGGCTTGTGGTACGCAGGGGTTCTCTTCGGGTCCGGGACGCTCGTACTTCCCCCTGCAGACATACCGAGAGCGTGCACAGTTTCCATTCTTCTGTCTTCACATTTCTCAGCCTTGCAGCCCAGGAGTGTGGCTCACAGGACACCTTCTGTTCCGTCCAACAGCACCACTGTCCATGGTGGGGCATCCTCTGGTCTGTGGTGGAGCATCCTGCCGTGGCAAAGCTCTTTCAGAGGAACAGCCGTTTGGTTGCAAATCCTGCCTGGACAATTTGCCATGCAAAGCTGAGTGATCCAGGTGTACCCTCTGTAACTCCTGGGAGTGGGGGAGGCTGGTAAAACACCTTAAAGTTTTAAAAAGCCCTTTGAGGATCGTTTTCTTCCTTTTTTTTTCAACCTCTGAGTAGTTTTCCGTCTTAAGGGAAAGGACTGACTGCTGCTGGGTTAACACGGTGTGCAGATATTCAGAGATAGCAGTGATTTGGTGCTGAGATGAGTTTTCTACACATTAAGTGTAATGTTCAATTTCTTTTGTTACAGATGGAAGAAAAACGACGCAAGTACTCCATCAGCAGTGATAACTCAGACACCACTGACAGTAAGACCTTTAATTCAAAGCTTTGAACAAGATTCACCTCCAGCAGGGAAAATGCTTAAATAATTACTTTGCAAAGATTGGGGGAAACTGCATTTACTGGGAAGTCCCTGCACAATGAATTGTGTGCAGGGCTGGGTTTGTCAGAAATGCAGCAACAAGCTGATACCAATTTATTTAAACACTTGGCTGTGGCTCCTCTTAACTGATTAGAGTGTCTCCCTCGTGTGAGGAGTCTGGGCGAGGAGAGCTGCTGATTGCAGATCTGCTAACAAAGCAGCAAACACCCTTTGTAGATGAGCTGTCCTTTCCTGTGAGCTGCAGCCTGAGACTAGTTTGCTCTTGATTTGGGTCGTACCGGGGGGAAAGGGAAGTTTTTATTGGAGCCAGGGTAAAACTGGAGCTGCATTGTTCCCTCCTTGCAAGCTGAGGAGTGATGTGGGAAAAAGGATAAAGCTCAAGCCAGCAAAACTTGCAAGCCCACGCTTGCTTTTCAACATCTACCTCACTTCATCCTCGTTCAGGAAGGCACAGGAGCATGTGCTCAACAATAAACATGTGCAAATGTGCTGGATTTTGGCTATAAATAGAGCACTTTCCTCTCCCACTTATCCCAGGGTTTCACCCACTGCAGACATACCGCAGTGCCTCGGTGTTCAGAACCCTCAAGGCACCAGCCTAATCCCTTGTCTGGGCTCCAGAGTTTCTTACTAGTTGCTCTTGGTCTTTTACAAATGTCACAGTAATTTCATCTGGGCCGTGCTGGGAATTTGCTCTCCACACTTTACAGGATCTGGCTGCTGGATACCCGAGAACGAAAGGGACTTTGCTAAAGACACTAAACTTCTGGGCCTTTTCCTAACAGGATGATGGGGAGATTACAGGGGGTTATGGAAAGGCTGATCTTGCTGGGTTTGGCTGCCGTTCCCACAGCTTCAGCCAAAAAAATTGTCAGCGTGAGAGGAGTTTGCACCAGCCCTGCCGACGGGAACCTGCTGGCAGGGACCCCCGTCCTGCTGCAGCCCTGGGGGGGCCTGGGAGCTGAGCTGCACCCACAGAAAGCGTTTCAGGCTCTGTCAGCACCGCTGGCTTCTCGTAAAACGAAACATCTCTGTCTCAGAAAGGGGTTTGTTTTGGAAGCTGCGCTCCAAACTTCCCGGTCTCCTAATCCCCAGATGCTCGAGGGCTTAGGGAGCAGCTCCTGGGCTCCGCTGCCTTTCGAGGGTAAGGCATCCTTAATCATGGTGTTAAACAACGTGGCCTTATCTCTGCTGGGCTTGGATATTTATGCTGCAGGTGATATCTAAGCTGTTGACAAATGCTCTCCTGCAGGATGATTGTAAACAGAGTGGTGACCATCTTTTTGTGTGCTCTGCCAGGAAAGGGTGGTAGCGGTGTGTTATCCGGGTTTATGTAGTTGTAGCATCACACTGTAGCTTGAGAGGAGGGGGCAAGGTGGAAATTAGTGGCTCAGTCTCTCCATAAAAGCTGTGGAGCTGCTGCTGCCCTCCTTTGAGCAGCTCACTGAGTAAAGCAGCATGTCCATGTGGCTGCAGCATGGGGATGTCTGCTGTGGGCTTTGCCTACACAGTCCTGTTATGCACTGAAATGCTCTAGAAAAGTTATTTAAATGGATCTCTCTTTAGTGACATCTGGCCTGACACTGCAGTCAAAAAAAACAGCTGTCTTTTGAGAACAGGTGATGCCCCCACATTTGGTCTTCATTTTATGAAGAACGAGAAAGTGCACTGCAAGTAAAAGAGTGCAAGGTGAGCTGGTGCCTCTTCCCCTGCCAGCAAAAATAGGCATGTGAGATTTATCTGGGCTCAGCTGCCTGAGCTGGTGGAGGAACAGACGTTTCCCATTGCAGTGGTACTGCATCCTGATCCCTTGGGTCAGCTCAGCTCCTGGCCAGATCCCTTCCTCTTTACAGGGCTCCATCCCTTATGTGCACAGTCAGCCATCCAAGGATAAAATCAGTGATAAATAGGCCTATTGATGGTTAATTTGTTGCACCCTCACAGAAACGATTTTATGTGGTGGAATCTGGAGGGGTCCTGCTATAGAGAAGACTGAACTGTCATCATTATTATACAAAAATTCCAGTAATTAGTTTATTATTTATTATTAACAAATACAGCAGTTTTCTATGTGTCAATGACACAAATAGGTTGGAAATAAAGATCAGTAATGTAATGGTCCCAGAAAATTCCAGCCTTTAGCTACCTTTGCCTTACAGAGGGGGTAGCAGTGGTGATGATACTGCTGCAGTCAGGATGATGAGAGACCATTCATAATGCTCCCTGAGGAGAGTATTCCCAAACCTCAAAGCAAATACTCTCTTACTACTGAAAAGTGTGAAGTGCCTTTGCTTGATGTGTTCTGTTGTGTGGTTCCCAGTGGATGCTGAACTGCTCACAGCTGTGGGAATTCTTAGTCCTGGTGTGGGCAGAGGAGTTTGCCCCAATTTTGTCAATAGTTTTGACCATGGGGCCTGAAGTCCATGAGCTGTTCAGATACCTGTCTTTAAGCATCCTTGCTAGAAAACTTTTACCTCCTAAATTCCTAATCCCAATAGACTCCTGATTCCAGGAATGAACCCTGACTCATTCCCTCTTAGAAGCCAGTCTCACTTGTGACTTTGGGTTTCTCATTTCTGTTGTCTGCATTTGAAAACAGTGTTTTTAAATTTCAGGGGCCTCTATTTCATCATCTACATCATCATCAGTAGCAGGAAAGTGATGTTAGTGCGTTCTGGTGAGGTGCCCTGGGGTGTGCACAAAAATAATGCCATGTCAAGGTATTATTGCCTCTTAGTGCTGGCCCGGAGTGTTGAGGCTGTAGCAGCAGGGCTGGTGGCAAAGATGTGGGAAAAACTTTTGACTTTTTTCCAGATAACCTGTCTCTGTTGCCTCCTTGCAGGTCACACCACATCCACCTCCAGATGCTCCAAAATTCCGAATACCAAATCCCCCTGGTCACGGCAGAAGGAGAAGAAGCCCTCTGAGGTATGTGGGGCTTTCAGGCTTTTGCCAGAGGGGGGGTTTCCCATGGCACTGTGCTTGCCCAGATGTGGAAACCAGCGTGCCCATGGCTGGCTATGGGCAGTGGGTGCCAGGACAAGGCATCTGCAGGAAGGCAGAGCCACAGCTCCTGACAGTGGTGCCAGCCCTGACTCTGCTCGGAGGGAGCAGGGAGGGAAACCTGATGGGCATCTCTGATGAAGGGTGTGAGGTCCTTGTGCCCAAAATCCTTGTACCCACTCCACCCCTGTTGATGCAAGGAAAGAGAGGTTGAGTTTGGTGGGACTGGGAGGCCCTACAGTTTTGGGGTGTCTGTGTGCCAAGGTTCCCCGGTTTGGGTGCCCGCTGGGTGCCCTTTCATCAGTGGCACAGGTCACAGCACTGGTGACGTGGAGGCTCCTCCCCGTGAACTAAGTGGGAGGCACGGAGAGCTGTGAAATGAGAGACAGCACAGCTGAGTTGCAGATCATGTTGTGTTGGTTTCCTCCTGTCACGGGGCTCAAGGGCATTAAGCCGAGGCCGGCGGTGTCTGACCTTGCCCGCGGGGTTTTCCCTGGCTGGGACGGGCGGTGCTGCCCACCCTGGGGACGCTGCCCCGGTTCCCCTGCCAGCTCTGCAGTGCAGGCTCTGGGATTGGGGTGGGAGCAGCTGTGTGTCCCCGGGACTGTGCTGGAAGGGGCAGTGCTGTGCCCTGTTTTCCTCCGTGCGCCTCGGATACATTTCCACGAGCCCTGGAAACTATACCAGGCATGAGCTGCTGTTGTAGCAACCGCAGTGTTTGGCAGTGGTCATCTTCATTTCAGCAGCAGCGTGAGCAAAACCAGAGGGACATTGTTCTCACATTCCCTTCCCTCTGGACCAGGGTCTGGAGTCAGGCAGAGCTAAGTTTAGAAGGAGGTGAAGCTGGCATGGCTGATGTGAACTCCTGCCCAAGCTCCCCCCGTCACCTCTCCTGATGCTGTGGCCTGCTGAGCACAAACCCCTGTAACATCTTCCTTTTGCATCAAGCTGAATAGAGATTTTGAGGTTTTCCTGTGGTCAGTGCCTGAATTACAGCTGCACTTGGTTTTTACTGCTCTGACAGGTTTACATTGATATATCTGAAGTGTTGGTGAAGGACAGAGACTGAAAAAGTCCAAGTTGTTTGTGCCGTGGGAAAAGAGAGGGACTGGAAAGCTGTTAGTACCAGCTGAGGTAGTTGGAAGCACTCCAGAGAGCAAGAACCAGGGGTGCAGATGTCACTGGCTGCTGACAAGGCTGTTAGAAAGTTGAACATTAGCACTGGTTATAGATGTGTCTCGATAGGGGTCAGGGGGTGATTTCTGTGAGCTCAATCCTTCCTAGGAAAATGAAGGATTCAGGGGATCTTCTCCTCCTCCTGTGGCACCGTTATCCCCTTCTGAAAAAATGCTTATCCTTGTACCCAATGTATCCATAAAGGCCTGGGGTGAGCCCTTCAGGTGCTGTCAGGAGTCCCTGAGGTGGAGATGCCCATTGTTGGACCTGGTTAGGTGTGACAGCATGTGACTCGTGCATCAGGGCAGTGTGATGTGTGCCACCCTGCTGCTGCCCAGTAAAGCTTTCCTCCAAGCGTTGCTGCATCTCTTTACTGCATCAGTGGTACAGACAGGCTTTTGTCTGTAATGTGAATTAGTTTAATCAGCCATTTAGGATTTTATCCAGCTGCCAAGGAAGTTATTGGATATGAAAGTCCAAGACTCCGAGTGAAATGCTTCTGGACTTGTTGAAGGATGGTCAGACCTGGATCCAAGTTGCTGCTCTACAACAGCTGGAGTGAAAACTAGATCTTAGTCCATGGCACCCGGGGAGACATCAGATGTGGTGCCTGTGGAGGGCCAGGCTCATCCCTCTGCTTCATGCTCTGTTATGCCCTGAGGAGGATTCTCAGTGAAATGTAGCTCTGGAACAAATAAACTGGAGCAAAAGCTGAACAGTGCCCAATTTAGCAACAGTTGGGACAGAAAGTGAACCTCTGTGTCTTATCTGAACTGAAACTCCAGGGGAATTCGGGGAGGCGATGTTTGATTGCTCAAGCTGGAGTTTGGCCAGGATGCTCAAGCTGACGAACCATCTTTTGCAGAAGCGTGGTGGGAACGCAGGCAGATGGAGCAGACCTGGGCCGTGCTCCCCTTTCCCTCCATCGCCCCTGCGGCTGCCGTGTCCGGGGCTGCTGGAAATCAGCTCCAGGGGGAACCCAGGGGTCAGGAGAGAGTGTGTGATGTCAGACACAGGATTGCCCCAAGATCTGAGCAGTGCAAGGTGGTGGTTTGGAGGTCATTCCAGTATGGATTTCCTCTACAACAGCATCTTCCACGAGTCACCCAGCGCCTTCCCTTCCTGTGATCACCCCTGAACCCGTCAGGTCCACGTGTGGGATCCGCTGTCTGTCATCTGTGACACGCTGCAGGGTTTGGCACGTCCCTGAGGATTTCTTGTAGGAACCCTGGAGGATTTCAGGCACAGACTGGGATGGGCATCATGCCCTGCTGGAGCGCGTACTGAGAAATGGAAAACGTAAACCACACCACTGTCAGACTATTTCACATGAAATGGTGAGGTGCCTTGCTCTTGTCCATCCCGCTGAGGATGGAAACCGCAGGAGGGTGACAGGGAGAGCAGGATGAATGTGCTATCAGATTTGAACCTCCAGACATTTGGGCCTGGAGGAATATCTTAAAACAATAAGTCAAACTTCAGTTTTACAGGTGGCCTTTAGATTTGTCAGGAGCCGCAGTGGGTGCAGGCACGTCCTGGGGGATGGCGATGCTGGAGGATGAGCTGGTGGAGCAGGACACCCTGGCCTCCCCTGCCCCTCTCCAAGTCATTTCTCTGCGAGCTGCTGTCCTGGAGAAACACGCGTTCCCCCTGACAACCCCGGGCAGGAGATAAAAAAAAAAAATAAAAAAAAATCAAAAGCATTAGTGTTACATAGTTATTAGTCAGGTCAGGGGGGTGATGTTTATTATGAAAGACTCTGTGAGAAGGGATTAACTATACACATTAAAAACCACCCAATACGAGGCATCTGGAAAAACAAGCTTCTTACCATGGAAAAGTACTGAGCTGTTTGTAAACATCCGCGGAGGGGCCATTGCCAGGGAGGGTGATTATATTTATCTGTGCCTGTCACGGGGCTCTGCCTGGGCTCTTTTCCTGATGTGTCCCAGGCACCAGGACTCTGTCTTGGCTGTCTCCCTTGCAGAGGTGACAGCTGCCCTCCCCTGCCCCTTCCTGGGCAGCAGAGCCATGCCCGGGGCACCACCAGGCTTAGCCCCAAAGGCTCTGCAGAGCCTTTGGGGCTAAGCCTGGTGGTGCCCCGGGCACAGGGCACGGCTCTGCTGCCCTGCTTCTGCCTGAAGGCACAGGGAGGACGTGGGCAGCTGCCAGCAGCTTCTTGCATCTGCAGTGATAGCAGTCTACCGACCTGGTGATTTTAATTAATCTCATTAGAGCTTGGGCTCAAGCTGAGTGTGGTGGCTGGTACCCATCCCCCGGGTCCCTGCGAGGGTCGTGCCCCCTGCCCCTGGTGGGGCTGGAAGGAGGGGATGCTCACTCAGGCCCTACCTGTCGTGGCTCTGAGCCTGCAGCAAGGGAGTGAGACGTGCCTGAAGGAGGGATTTCTGCCCGAAGGAGGGATTTCTGCTCGTGTTGGTGGCACATCAGCACAGTCCTGCCCCCCAGGGCTGCTGGGGACGAGAGCACGAACCTCTCCTCTCGCTGGTTTGGCTGCAGTCATCAAGCCTCTCTGCTGTCCCTGACAGGGAACAGTTGTCAGTGTCTAAGGAGAGAATAGAAGAACAAGGCAAGTGTTGTAATGATAGTAGCCGGTTCTATCTGCCAGCTCCCAGCCATCAGCAGCCCGGGGACTCCCTGGGACGCTGCCTCTGAGTCACTGCCTGCACCGCCGTGTTAGTCATTAGCTCCAGGGCTGTTTGAGATCCAAAATGCTCACCTGCGCTGCTGGAATACATCGTGGAGGGACTAAAGGCTGCTTTTTTGGTGCAAACCTCCTGCCTGACAGCGCCCCATCCGTCCCCTTCCCCAGCTGGAGGGCCCTGCCCCATCCTCAGCTCCGCTGCTCATCCCGCCGGACATCCTCACGGCCCTTCTCCTTCAGGAGGCGAGGGGACCACAGCTGCAGGCAGGGCTCAGGATGAAGGGGAAACCGCAAATTTATACAATTTACGTTCTTTTCTGCTTGCCTTGTTTAGATGTTACTTCCGTGTTTTGAAAGATGCGTTTTTATATCTCTTCGCAAGGTTTTAACTCGTTTAACAAACATCCTCATGGTTTCCCTTCTACAGAGTAATTCTTCATGCGTTGGATCATGGGTTTTTTTCCCCCTGCAATAGGTGTATAATGGCTCATTGCAATGTGAATTTAGCCCTCCTCGCTTGGAGAAGAGCTTTTATGAGTATGGCCGAGCAAGACTGGGCAAGCTTTTATTGGGCTGGATGAGAAGATCTGTCTCTGTTGAAAGGTTTGACTGCAGTGGCTTTGTCAGTTTTCCCATGCTGGCACGGGGATAACAGATTAATACCATTGTCTTCTGAATGCTGAGAAGGGACAGACAAAAATGCTTCTTGTTCCTCTTTTAAGTCCTGTTGTTCACTGAATCTTTAACATCCAGCATTTCGAGAGGAAACAAGACTAAATGAAGAGATGGGAGGCTGTCTCCCAAGTGGACACAGGAGTTCAGGATTTCTCTCCCCACAGGCAAATATTATTGCTGGTTGCACACACACTCCAGGCACTGCCACATTTCAGAGCCTTGCTACCGAGTATCAGCGCTCTTCTCATTTCAGAAGGGACTGGAGAAGTGCAATATAACAGCAGGGAAGCAGGGCTGGGAGTCTAGAGGGGAGTGGGACTGGGCACGGAGGTGCCGTCTCAGGCTGATATGGAGACAGTTTGTACAACCAAAAACTATTCCCAGGGCTCCCATTGTTCCCGTTGTTTTCTCTTTCTCTAAAATTCCTTGTGACTCATGAGCTACCACAAACAACTTTGTGGTTCAAGGAGTGAAGGGCTAACAGAGCCCACTGGCAGTGAGGAGGGAGCCCTGTGAGCGAGGCAGCCGGAGACCGCCCCGGTGCCGGCGCGGATGGAGAAGGGTAGGTATGGAGGGAGGGTAGCAGCACACAGCTGCCAGGGCTGCAGTCAGGGAGGAAAAAGAGTGTTGAGCCAAAACCTGAAGACAGCCTGTCATCTCACTGTCAGAAAGCACCCCCACACCCACCCCCACACGTGGTGACTGCTGCTGCCCGTCCTTTGGAGCACCCACTGTAGGCCCCTGCTATGGCGAGGTCACCACAGAGGGATCCCACACAGGTACTGGGTGTGTGAGGGAATCAGGGGAGGATTGCAGGTCTCTTGGGTGATGGAGGGAATGGGTCAAATGTGAGATCTCGGATTGCAGGCTGTGACCAGTGCCTTCCCACCTCTCCCCTCCGCCCTCTCCCTGGTGACCACGGCGTGTTTTCCTGCATGTGAGTGAATCAAAGAGCCTGGAAATCGATTGCATGGAAAGGTGGTGAAGGGGCTCTGAGAGGGGCTGGATGGTGATGGGGGAGAGGCAGAGGAGGAGGAGGAGAAGGATGCTGGGAAGCAGCACAGCCTGGGAGCCCTTTGCTAGGAGAGGGATGGAGTTTCCAATGCCCATCATCCATCCGTCATGGCAAGGCACCGTGTGCCTGGGCACCTCCTCCCAGGAGCACGTATTTGTCTCTGAGGTTGTCCAAGTGTTGGAAAAATTGAAGCTGGTCCGTGGAGAACTCCTGGAGGTGCCTCACAGCTGTTGCAGGGCACTGGGAGAGGCTGCAGGGCTGTCAGTCCAGCACCACAAACTGGTGGGCTCAAAGGTTGGGGAAGTAGCAGAGATGGGTAATCCAGACCTGTGAGATATGAGGGAGAGGGAAGTTTTCTCCATATGCTTTTCTGACCTGGGGTCTGAGGCTGCACAACCCCGCTGACCCTGACTCCATGTCCCTCTCATTTGGCAATGTGAAGGCAAAAATACCTTGGAATTTTGCAGTTTTGGGTTCTTTTTCCCCACCTTTAAAACTGACACTAGGAAAAGGGGAGGCTGGCCCTGGGCATGGGTGTGATGCATCTCCAAGCATCACTGGGCCTGCCTGAGGTTCCTGAGCAAGCAGAGGCAATAAAGGAACATCTTGGTTTGACCTTTCCCATTGCTGGCAGATCGACAGGCAATAACCTGGATCCTGCTGCTGGGCTGGAAGGGGAGAACAGAGCTTGGCCAGGGCTGTGGTGGTGGCAGGGGGAGCAGGGTGCAGGGCAGCAGACAATTCGTCAGCTCCCACGGCCGGGGAGAAACAGTAAACACTCCTATTGAGGGAAAATTGCTTGTTTTCTGGTACCCAACTTTTTCTTCATCGCCAGGTCCTCGGTTCATCAGTGCCCAATTTATCCTTTATTTGGTTTTCATAAATAATTCAGAAGAGTTTGAGTAGAATAATTGAGTCTTTTCCCAACCCTAATCCCAGACAATTCAAAACAAAAAGACATTTAGATTACAATTTGAGCGTATTAGCTGTTGGGAGATTTCCAGACAACTGATCTGCTTTCCTTTACAATTTCTGTGCTGTTCTATCATTTCTAAAGTGTTCTGCTTTGATAGTTAATAATTTGAGCATATCCAGTTCTTCATGAAAAGACAGAGGCGTCGCTGCGATAAAGTGCGGGCGCGCGCGCTGCCGTCGGATGGGCGAGCTTATCTGTTTTCCAAGAAGGACTAAATAAATGAAGTAGTGAGATTGCAAATCCAGCCTGCGATGCTCCTTATCTTCAGGGAGATAGATACAATCGTGCTTATTTGGCTTAAAATTAAAACTAAGCCGCCTGCGCCGATGAGAGCTGAAAAGCCAGAAGGGATGAATTTGGGGGAGGACTTAATGCAGGAAAACAGGAGCCTGGGATCTGCACCGTGCAGAGGGGAGGAATTACACCCAGGGCTGGTCCCGTTGTTGCATTTTCCAGTGCCCAGGCTCTTGAGGTTCTGGAGGGGTTTGTATCTACTGAGGGTGTTGGGAAGCATTGGTAAGGCTGATCCTTGTCCAGAGCAGCAGGAGGTGCCCCAGGGCACCTGGGGAGACATGACCATGGAGACATGACCCCAGCAAAGAGCTGAGAGCACTAAAGAAGTTTCCTGATGGCTGTAAGCAAAGGAAAATGAGTGAAGCTTGTGACACGAGGTTTGCATGGAGCTGCTGTGTTTCGTACCCATGGATGACAGCCCCGGGGGTGGCCAGGCCAGGAAGAGGGTGATGGGCCGGGATTTTGATTTTGGTTTAGAAAAGCTGTTTAATGCCCTGCACCTTTGGAAACCATTCCTACCTGGCTTTGCCCACAAATCCCAGGGGCACGTGTCTCCAGAACGGTGTTTCCTGTAACATAATTGTGCTGGTGCCAGGGGAAGTTTAGATTGGATATTAAGAAAAATTTCTTCACTGAAAGGATGGTTAAGCCCAGGGTTGTGGTGGAATCACCACCCCTGGAGGTATTCTAAAGCCATGTAGATGTGGCACTTGGGGACATGGGTTAGTGGGGGGCTTGGCAGAGCTGGGTTAGTGGTTGGACTCGATGATCTTAGAGGGCTTTTCCAACCTCAATGATTCTGTGGTTCAGTGGGTGCTGTGGTGCTGGTGGCCAGGACAGGGAGGTGGCACTGCTCCCCATGCTGCCCTCAGCCCGTGTGGTTCAGGGGAGCATCTCATCCACCAAAGCCAGGTGATCCAAGGAAGGACACTTAACTGGGGTTTGCATTGTCCTCAGTGGAACTGGGCACCAAAACTGGGTTATGGAGGTGCTGTTTGCCCAAGCTGTGACCTGTCAGTGCAGGGCTGGCAAGAACAGGGTGTGTTTCTGTGCTGTGTTGTAGAAAATGAGCTACAGCAGGGTTCCTGTGCTTGTTTGGATACGCAGACACAGCGCTGGAAGGACTGTGATATCTCCCATATCCCTTCTCATGTTTAATTAATGCCTATTTTAATACTTTTTAAAAAATCTCTCACTCTGGCAGTGTATTAAAAGGTTACTGTGGTATCTCTGACGCTGCTTTTGTAGCACATAGAGACTTAAAGGACCGTGATCTTTCCCAAACTGAGCCTAATCCTGCCTGTAGTACGTAGGCTGGTAATTATGTTTGTTGAAGGATGCAGTGAGACTGCCTGACCAATTCAAATCAGGTTTATATAGACACAGTCAAAAATGTCTCCAAGCAGCTGCATCAGGAGGAAAAGCACCAGGAAAATTCAAAGAGGTCCCAACATAGCAAAGGTTGTTTATATATTGTATTTAACTCTAATTGGGTTAGCAGCTGAGACTCTGAGGATTAAACAAACTGACCTAAATACCGGTCTCAGTGGTCTTAGTTAGTGTCTAGTTTCCTGCATCTCAGCCGATTTGGGTTCCCAAATACTCTCCAAAGCATGTTATTTTTGTATCAAAAAATGTGAAACTATGTTGTATTATTTCTTGTGGTTCTGACACAGCAATACTCTTTTGGAGAATAGACTGTGTGAAGAGATTAAACAACATCTGAAGAAAACATCTGATCCATCCCGGCCTCGTGGAAGGAATGCAGAAGTAGCAGGGATGGAGTGGATGGAGCGAGATGGTGTCCAGGCAGGATTGCTGGCACTGGCAGTTATTATTCCAGCTAATAGCAGATGGTAGAGAGGAGAAATCATCCATTTTCATTTACAATTTATTTTTGTGCTGCAAGAAGCAGGATTGCTCGAGTCATTGCTGTCAGGCAGCCCTCTGGAAGGAAAACCTTATTTACCATGAGGGATATTTTTGGAATGAGTTTTTCATCCTAGTATATTGGGAGAAGATGCTGCAGGGCCAGCAGTGAGATGGAAAATGAGCCCATTTACTGACTGAAGGGCTGGAGGATTTTCCTGAAGGAGGGGTTTGGTGTTGATCTCACAAGGAGTTTGTTGGGTCAGGACACATCTCGGTGGGTTTGGCTGTGGATGGGTGAGCAGCACCCAGATCACCTTTTAGCCAGTTATTTTCCACCTTCAGCTGTTGGCTGTCCCTGCTTGGGACGACGAGGGGAAGTGATGGGGAGACAAAGGCGCTTGGGGCAGTGAGGTGACGGGACATGAGGTTCTCAAGGTGATGAGGTAACCACAGTGGGGACACGAAGGTGCTCAGGGCAGTGAGGTGACGCGGAGAGGACACAAAGATGCTCAGGGTCACGAGGTGATGTGGTGGGGACACGAAGGTGCTTGGGATGGTATTCTCTTTATCTCCCGCAGCTTTTCATGTCAAGAACATCATTTCCCTTCCCTCAGGAGGGCTGAGTGCAGAGAAGCCCAGTTGCAAAATGACACGCTGGAGCCATACCAGTGGTGATGCAAACCCCCACTGTGCTGGCCCCCAGCCCCTGCCAGACCCCTTCACTCAGGGTGGGTTTTTTCTCTCTGGCGCAGGTTTTCCGCACGGATCTGATAACAGCCATGAAGATCCCTGACTCCTTCCAGCTGAGCCCTGACGAGTACTACGTCCTGGCTGATCCCTGGAGGCAGGAGTGGGAGAAGGGTGTCCAGGTGCCGGCAAGTGCCGAGGCCATCCCTGAGCCTGTGGTCAGGTGAGTGAGTGTGGTCCCCTCTGCCTTGGTGGGTGCACACACTCAGGGGGCATGCAGAGGGGATGCATGGGAACCTGGGCTTGCACAGGGACCCCCCAAAGCACCCTGAAAAGTCCCTCTCATATGCCTGGCTTTTCCTGGGCAGTGGCCAGGCGGGCCAGCTCCTTGCTTCCTCTTGGTCGGGGAATTTTCAAAAAGATCCGATAAAATCAAAGGGAGGATAAAAAAGTACCAGCAGAAAACCACCCAGAACTCCAGCCTCTTGCCTGGCTGGCTGATGCCTCTCTGCCTAGAAACACGTGGCCGTACCGCTGGTATTTCACGGCAGGGGAGCAGGAGTTGGCCCTTAAATTAAAAACTTCCCTCTTTACTATGTTTGTGTGGATTGGAAACGTGCTGGGCATGCTGAGATTCAGGGCTTGGGAAAAGGAGCCCAGCGAATAGAGAAGCATCTCCCAGACCTTGCAGAGACGACGTCTGTCAGCCGAGATCGGGGGCTCATTAGCTATTTTAAAATAGGGAACTGGGTTCTAAAATAGACACTTAAACAGCTGCTCAGGCAAAAGGGAAACGTGGGGGAGCTGCTTCCCGCTCGATATGCGTGTGGGATTATCCCAGGGCAGTGGCCAGAGCTGTGGGGGAGAGGCTGGTACTGCTGCTGGGGTGAACCGGGCAGGTTGGGAAGGGACCCCAAAACTCTCAGGGTGGGACCCAAAACTCCCCGCGGGGTTTGCAGGAGCTTTGGAGCTGCGGTGGGTGCCCTTGGTGAGGTGTGACAGCGGGCGTGCATCCTGCAGAATGGTGCTGAGGCTGCTGTGGGAGCGGGGAGGCTGCAGGGGGGATGTGTTTTGCCCGGGGATTGGGGCAGGGAGCAGAGGCCGATGGAGGCTCCGTTTGTCCCACAGCAACAGCAGCTGCTGCTGCAGCTGCCGACCCCGCTTCTGAAGTAAACTTTTGTGTACGCTCCCCTTCCTCCCCCGGGGAAAACAGAGAAAGAAATGAAACTTTAATGAGTCTGAACACATCAAAAGGGAAGTTGTAAAGGGGGCTGTTGAGTTGATTTAATCCTTTGGAAAGGAAAAAAAAAAAAAAAAAAAATCACACAACCCCAAACCGAAAAAAAAAAAAAAAAAAAAGGAGGGGGAAAAAAAAACCACCCTGTGTGTGGAATATCTTTTTTTAGTTGTCTTAGATAGCTAACCACAGGCTGGCCTTGCCAGGGCTCTGCTCCCCAGCTGAGGGCTCGTGCCGGGGCTGTTTCCAGCCCAAAAGTGATCTTGGTGCTGCCTGGGCTGGTGGTGCCCATTTAGGTCCAGCCTGGCAGTGGCTGTCTGTGGGGTGGGGTTTGGCAGACCTCACAGCCAGGAGCTGCCAGGGCACAGGACAGGCTGAAAATGTGCCCTGCTGCTTGTCTCCAAGCTCTTGATTTTGGGGGTCCTGGGGCAGCTCTGCCAGTGCCATGTGTTCCCACGCATGGATATTCCTACAGTCTCTCCTGGTGCAGGTCATCCCTCCCATGTCCCCATCTCACTCTTGTCTCGCTCTGGCACCAGCCCTTTCCTGATATCTTTCACATTTTTCAGGCCACTCTTGTGTCTTCTCTCAGTCCTCTCCCCAAGACAAAGCAGATCCATTTATTTTGAGCTTCCATCCAAGGTTGTGTTTGCTGGAGTTGTGAACACATTTGTCAGTCTTCAGGCTTCCCCTGGTTTCACCCACGTCGCCACAGGGACGTGCCCACGGCTTCTGGAGGGGACATCCTGGTGCTGCCCACTCACCTGGAGGGTGAGGTTTCACTTCCACCATCAGATTCCTCTCTGAAGAATTTCCTAATTCTTGGGGTTATTTTGCTTTTATGTGGTTATTCTCAATCTCAGCACGGTTCCATAATCCTTGATGCGTTGCCTCCTGCGATGGTTCCAGCTCTTTCTTTAGTTCCTCAATACCATTTGGTGCTCGAGCCTTTCTCTCCAAAGAGTTTGTTTTATTTTTAAAGTCTGATAATGTGTATCATGGATATTAGAATGAAATCCTTCCCTGTGAGGGTGGGCAGGCCCTGGCACAGGTTGCCCAGAGAAGCTGTGGCTGCCCCTGGATCCCTGGAAGGGTCCAAGGCCAGGCTGGATGGGGCTTGGAGCAACCTGGGCTGGTGGAAGGTGTCCCTGCCCATGGCAGGGGGTGGGACTGGATGATCTTTAAGGTCCTTTCCAACCCAAACCATTCTAGGCTTCTCAAATCTGACCCGTTCTCTGTGACCTCTCAAAGATACTTATTGCTGGCTCCATCACTCCCAGCTAATCTCAGGTGGATTTCTGCAGCCCCTCTGGTTTGCACCATGCCCTGCTCATCCCAACTTGCTCCAGGGATGCTCTGGGACTGTGCTGCTTACCCAAAGCCTTATCTTCCTTGGAGTTCTTTCCTCTCACGTTGCTCTGTCTGTCTGTCCTGCACCATGTCCCATCTGCCTGGAACCATCTCTCTTTGCTGACAGGACATCAAGCAATCCTGAAGGACTTTTTCCTCAGGCTACTGCTGCCTGTTTGGGATATTTTGCCTTCACTGGTGTGATGCGAGTGGAATAAAGAGCTCATTTTACAGCAGCATCCCAGGGGGACAGGCAGTGATGCTGCCAGATTTGTTTTGGTCGGGACAGCATCTCTCCACTTGCTGCTCTCCCTCCCAAAGCATCCCTGCCCTCAGTGTTTTCCCACTTGGGTCATGATGTGAGAGTTGGAGGTGGAGAGGGCAGCGTTGGACTGCCAGGGACAGTGCAGACTGCAGTTGCTTTCCTATCTCCAGGGTTAGACAACTCCCTCTTGCAGCTTGCCCTGCGTTGGAGAAGTGTCAAGTGTTTTTTTTCACAAGAGATGACTGTATTTCATCTGCCTAAAGAGAACAGCCTTAAAAGGCCTTACAACTCCATTTACCTCCCTATTTTAATTGCTGTAATTCACCCCAGTCTCCATCCCAGGTGATGGATGAGCAGGTACCTCTCTGGTCCCATCTGAGCTGCTGTTTTCGCTCCCACCCTGTGGCTGCTGCCCCATGGCCTGAGCATCACTTCCCCCTTTGCTTCCTAACTTTCCATTTTCCCCATTCAAACCAACAAAAAATACACATAAACCCAGCAGATCCTCTCTGTGTCAGATATAGACTGTCCAAATTCCTTTACTCTGCTGAAAAATATCCCAGCACTGATGTTTTCTGCAGACTGGAGATGCTGAGCCCAGCAGTTGCCTCTGTTCCTCACTTTGCTTTCCCCCCACCTCAGAGGTGTGACAGAGCATCCTGCCCTCAGAGAGGGATGCCCTTGGTAATCCAGTCCTGATGTTGCCAATTCTGACAGCCACTTCCATGGGAAATTCCTAGAGGGAGGCAGCAGGGGGGAGAAGCCACCAGAGCCCCAGGAGCTGGCGAGCAGGCAAGCGCTGCCTGCAAAATGATACCCAGCCCATCATCCCGAAGCCCAGGGGTCTGATTCCTGGGCTGAGCCATCACCAGCCAGTGGATTGTGCTGTGGAGTGTGCAGGAATTGCTTCCTGCTCCAGAGGAGGGATCTTGTTCTCCGAAAGGTGCTGCCGTTTACGCAGCCACCGCTGCTCTTTTCATCTCCCGCCTGGGCGCTTGGAAACCAGCTCTCCCTGCCCGCACCCTGCCTCGAGGTTTTGTGCCTCCAAAGCTGAAAATTAGATTTTTGAAACATCTTGTTTTTACTGGAGCTCTAAAATGTCAAAAGCTGGGGGGTGAGGCAGAAGGAAAGAGCTGTATTTTAAGGAATGCTTTCCCCAGAAAGCAGCTGTCTCAAAATGCCTCCGCCGAGAGCCACCTTAAACTCAAGGGTCCTTTCTAGGTTAGCACAAATCACAGTGCAGTTGTGAGGAAAGCAGTGGGGGAAGAGGTGCAGCATCTCTTGGCGTGGTGTCCCGGGAGGCAAAGATGCTGCCGGTGGCCACCTGCCTGCCAAGGTCTTTAGGCAGTGTGGGAGATGAGCTGGTTTTCCCTCTCTGTGATCATTTCTGGCTCATTGCTGCTGAAAAGGGTTTTATTTTGTATGGTAACATGTCTGAGAATTGCCCAAAGCTTGAAGGGCTCCAGTGTGGTGATAAAAGCTGCTCGCAGTCAGATGGGAGCAGAGGAGTGAGTAGTGGAGGCGAGTTTCCCTCCCAACAGGCAGACTGGCATTCTCTGCCCGTGGGTCTCCTGGTCACCCACCTGGGATCCCCACTGGCTTTCTGGGACCAGAGATGAGCCTCACAGCCCCTGTGTGAGCCCTGCAGTTGTTTTACACTTGGGCAAAGTGAGGCAGGGAGATTTACAAAATAAGTCAGTGGCAGAGCCGGGTACAAGGTCCCAGTCTGGTGTGGGGTGCAGTTGAGTGCTGGATGCAGAGCTGGCCCATCTCAGCACAGTTTGAGTTTAAGGATTATTAAGCAGGATAAAGTAAGGGTAAGAATTATCACCAGTTTTGGAGCATCAGAGCTATGGGTACCTCTCATGTAAATGGGAAGGAGATGCTTCAGGTGAGCTCTGTCTACCCAGAGTCACCATGTGATAAACCCAAAGGGAAGGTGGGCTTTGCTGGTTTGCCGTGGGTGCTCGTAGGAGGCTGTGAAGCCCTCTTTGCACAGTGGGTGTGCCAGGATGAGACCCAGGCTCGTCCCTTCCCACTGGTGCCAGTGCCAGTGCTGATGCTGGCGGAGCGTCGAGCTCACGCAGCAGAGCACCCCTTCATAAAGCAGCGGCATCTACATGGGATTTTATGCACCTGTACAGGTTTTATTTCCTCCTTTATTTAGTGATTTAATGTTTTTGGCATGTGGCCCCTTCCCCAGGCTGACAGGGATGTAAGCAGGATCTCGAGGTGGCTCTTGGATCTTGCATTAAGCCACATTAGTATGTGCTGTAGATTCTGTTTCCTGTGAATTTGCACACAGCGGGAGGACGAGCAGGAAGGCTGCTTCTTGCTGGCAGGCTTCCCAGATATTCTTGGCATTGCAGAT